GAGGGTAAAGGCGGCGCCCTGAGGCGGGGCGTGTGTGTGACAGTGCCGGTGTTGCACTGGGGACGGAGGGTTGATTTCCACCGGGATAAGCTCACCACAGAGTTGGGGGGAGGAGCGCTTAGCGCCAAGCACCGGGCAGGGGGGAGGGTGCGGGATCTTTGCTGTCCGGGGTCAAATGGGCGTAAACTTGAGGGTCCGGTTTCGTAGCACGGTCCCTCTGCAGACTGTTGCTGGATTAAGGTATCCCCCTCTCTCGCCCTCTCTGTCTTCTGCTGCTTTCTTTGTTTTGGTGGGTAAGTTAATCTCTCAGATCAACTCTGATTCAGTGGGAAACAAATAACTTTTTTTGTGGGTTGGCTTTTCTGTCAGATAGAACTGTTGATCCAGTTGATTTTTCCGATATGTGAGCCGTGCATGTGAGAATATATGGTGATGTAGAAGGAAGGAAAATAGGGTTGCCCTTTCAACAGCAATTTGCTCTTAGATTATGCTAGTGTTAACGTTGTGCTTTGCCTTGAATTTCAGAAATGTGAACCCAGTTAGCAGAAGTGACTCGGCTAATGAATGGGCTGGCAGCAGAATCTCCTGGACCCGGTTCCCCAGGAAGGTGACCCATCGGGAAGCTGCGTGTTGGTAACATACTGTTTGTTTTGCTCTGTAGAACAGCGATGCGTGTGTGCTGGCTGGTGGGGAAAGAGAAATGCAGTCAGCGAATGAAACTGCCACACCTGGAAGCAGTGGTAATTGGGCGTGGCCCAGAGACTGGGATAACGGATAAGAAGTGTTCACGGAAGCAAGGTAAGGCATAGCTCAAATCCCGCTTTCTACATGCAGCAGCAACCAAACTTGTGAAGAGTGTGAGATGCAAGTACGGCACTCATGTTTATCAATAAAAATCATTCTTCTGTTTGGCTAAATTACAGTGAAGCTAACGGACCAATGTTTTGGCCTAATTCATAAGTCTGCTTTGAGCAGGGTCTAAATGGGAAATCACAGTTTTTCCTTGAAATCTAAGCAGGCTTTCCTTAGGCTTGCTTCTGCAGTCACTGGCTTATGGTCTCCTTTCTCTGCATGGTCCATAGTGTTGCCTGATTCTTGAAGGCATCAAGCGTTTTTTTTATAAGCACTTATGGAGATCTCTGGGTCCTAAAAAATCAGAGGAGACGCCTAATAACAGGAAATGTGCCTTCGTAGACTAAGGCATTGAACCTTAACATGAGTCCCCAGGCTCACAGGCATGTTCCACTGCCTGCACTCTTGCTTTGTGAGTGGCACTTCATCTCCGTAATCTTCAACCAACTGAGTTTTAGGATGAGTTGTTATTTTATAGATGCACTGGCAAGTTATATAAAAATATCTGTGATCTATAAAATACTCCCCTTCACATTTTCCCTGCCTTACCTTTCTTCCTGCTGGACACAGTCCTGCTCCATGCTTTCTTGTCATAAAGGGCTGGTGAGAATAGCAAGAACGTGTGGAAGACTTCCACAGATTTCACCTTTATTCTGAAGTAATTTTGCTGATCCGTGATGTGAAATACTCAGGTGTGACTCAGTGTATGGGTTGGTTCCATTTTTCCTGTGGTCCTGGAAACAGGATGGGGCAGAAGTATTCTTTGTGTACATTCACAGAGATCAGCTTCAGAAAGTAGCAGATCTTGAAATACAAGAGTGTTTTCTGCAAGGGGTGTTTCAGCAGAGTTCTGGCCTTTTTATTTACACTGTTTTGTGACACTTTGTTCTTTCTTTCCAGTTCAGTTAAAAGCAGACTGTAACAAGGGGTATGTCACGGTTAAGCAGGTATGTTTTTAAATGGGTGTACTATATTTCTGATACTTACTGGGACGGTTGTTGTACTTAAACTCCACAAATGCTGCAAGTGATGATTCTGATCACTGGGTCTGAAGGGCCTGAAGCTGTTTTATGACCAAGGAGAGCACAGCAAGTGGTCCTTGGAAGGGATCTGTCTCTTTTTTTTTTTTTTTTTTTTTTTAAAAACCTCCAATGAAAAACTGCAC